ATGCTAACATGCTGATGTTTAACAGGTATAATGTTTACCATGTTCACCAACTTAGTGTGGCGTGTTAGCGTGCAAACATTTGCTAATTCGTTCTAAATTCAAAGCCCAGCTGAGGCAGATGGGCATGTCATTAGTTTTGCAGGTATTTGGTCACTGACCAAAGTATCAGACAAAATAGATTTGAATTATCTGCCCAGCACCAAACTGCAGACAATCAAGTTAGTGAATAACTGGTGAACATAGTGGACCATTTCATACACACACAGCTTATAACGTTTTTTATTGCAGGTTCAGTAAGAGAGGGAAGGAATGTACTGTATTTTAATAAGACTAATAGTCTACAGCCATGCTAGTGTGTGCATTGACAATGCTAATGTGGCTAAAAGCACAGTTTCTCACATATACTGCAAAAAACTGAAAGTATTCACATACTTGTATTCAAGAATAGTCTTTCAATCATATTAGAAAATTAAGGTTTAGAAAAAAGACTTCTGCAACATAAAAAGTCTCACAATTCCAGGAAATACTTGAAGTTAGTAGATTTTTCTAAATAAATAAAGAATAAAGGATAGAGAGAACCTTTGAAGAGAACATTTGCGTATCTTTAAAACAATGACCTCTTAGTACCGTATTGGGGAAAAAACAGCTCAAATTCCTAAAGCAATTTGACAAAAGAAGAAGACTAATGATGCGGGAGTTCCTGGCAAAATGTACTGGAACTATATTGTCATGTTTCTTAATGTCAGATCAGCTCACACTTCCTAAAACACGCACTGCTGAAGGATCTGTATCAAGGCCCAGAAGGTGTTTGATTGTGAGTAGGAAAAACGTGAAGCTGATGAGAGAGAGGGAATGAGAGAGAGAAAGAGAGAGACAGAGGTGCAGGCAGAGAACATGAGGCATGAGAGAAAAGCTTCTTGACTGGTTTTGTCTGGTTGAAGTCGGGCTGTATATTAACACAGTGGATTACGACTGAGTGAGGAATGCCTGTCTATGTTGAAACCTTTGTGGTGATGTCATCAGTACTTTCCCTGGCACCACCTGGGTAGGATTCACAGGAGGGGCCAGGCAGTTTATAAGGCAGCCAACTAGCTGCTGTAATGTGGCCTGATTAGTCACCTGACTCTGTTTTTTTTAAAAAGTTCTTTGACAAAAGACAGGCTTCAGTCAGCAGTGCCATGAAGATTAGCTGCCTGGTGAACTGTGTAAACAGACTGACAAATCTGTGTGTTTGTGTGAGCTGCATTCAGGAATGTATAATAGTGTCAGTGTCTTTTGCTGCTGTATATTGTGTGTGATTTAAGAGAGAAAATGGCATGAATAAATACAAAGACATATATTTGAGTGAGTGGAGATGATTAAAAGTAGAGACAGTGAGTCGTGTTTGTGTGCGTGTGTGTGTGTAATGGATGGAAAGTGAGAGACGGCGGTGAAAGAAATCCGACATAGAGAAAGTGTGTTGGAAAAAGACAGTGAGTGGGAATTAAAGAAGGACTCGTGGCAGAACCCACAGTGCTGATGTTAGCTGTCTGATCCACTGAGAGACAGTTGGCAGCAGACTGTCTACCAGCCACAAATGTACAGTAATTCAAAGCATGCGACGTGACGCCGTTCCTTGCAAGCTGGGGCTGCAGTAACCCCCCCACCCAACACACACACACACACATATTATAAGACACACTGTAAAAGTAACACTGAGTGCTCCATTCCACGTGATGCAATTATTCACAGTTCCATAGCAAATTTGGGCTGAAGCTAATCTCATAACTAAATGGTTTGGTGCAAAAACCAGAACCTATAAACAACTGTGAGGAATTCAACTTACTGGTGTCAGTAGCTCTAGTAGTTTATAAGGAAAAGATTAACAAAGTTAGTATGCAGTTGTCGGAGTACTCTTGCAATTAGTACTGTGCAAACGGGATTTATTGCCTCAGTCAATTAGTGTTTGGCAGTGACATAACTAACCTTCTGTTTCAGAGTAATTAGCACAGAGAAGTATTTTGTTCTTGACATCTGCACCAAGTTAAAGTCCTGAGTTGGGAGATTATGACTAATAGCATAAAGATCGATAAAGGAAACAAAAGAATAACAACAGAGTTTGTGAAAGGAAAACAAGATTCCAACTTTTGTAGGTTAGTTCTCATGAGCTTCACATGACTTGCATTTAGCTCCCCCCCCCATTCCCCCTTTTCTCCCTCTGTACTAAGCGCCCTCCCTCCTCCTTTCCTCTGCCGCCAACCCCCCCCCCTCCCCTCTCCGTGCTGCACATAGACTTCCTGTGTGTCCTGGCCTGAATGGTATGTGCATGGAGTGGGTGTCTGGGAGGCCTTTCATCCGGCATGGAAAGAAAAGAGAAGTCAAGAGAGAGGGTGAAAAAAAAAAAAGCTAGAGAAGAGAGTCATCTTTAATCCGTTTGAGTCAGAGCAGTTGTCCAGAGGCGAGTGGGGTGGGGCATATTAGACAGGGTGAGAGGGCTCTAGTTGTACCAGGGCTGTGTGTGTAGCGTCTGGAGGGGAAGAGAGAGGGCCTGCTGGGAAAGCCTGCAGCCTGCTCGTTTGCCTTTCTGGGGCAGATGACATCCGGCTGGGACACGGTTTTGCATGGCTGAGTGACGTTACCAAACTAATGCAGGTTGAATAGATAAGAATTATGCTCTGCGCTCTACAGTGTATTAATGCTGTCCTTTGGGAAAGGGGTAAGTATAATGTAATGCATATCAATCAAAAGCAAAATTTGCAATGACAAAATGATGATTGAAATTCTGGAAAGGGAATCTTAGCCCCTGCAGCCTCGTGGGTGAGTGCTGAGCTGCATTTGTCGTTGTCAGAAAGGGTGTAGCTGGCTGCTGAATGCCAGGCCTGACTAGACCCTACCCACACTGTGAAGGGGCACGCATGCAAAAGTCTGTGAGACTGCCTCATGTCATGGAAACAACCTACAGTTGTGTGTGTGTGTGTGTGTGTGTGTGTGTGTGTGCACATGCGCACACACAGAATGTCAAGACATGCCTAGACAAGATAACCTTTAATAAGAATAAAGCATACAGTGCCATCTGCTGTTTGGGTTGGATTGGGGTTTAGTCGGTTGAATTACATGAAATGCATCATATTTTGCATGGCATGTACATGTTTATGATGTCAGATGAATATCAACCAGTTATTTATAATACTGGTGGATTATTTTGGTTTAGTACATTTGGTTGCTTTGTGAGTTATGGTGAGATGGTACTAAATCTAATGCATCACACTCCAGAGTCATTTGATGGAAACTATCATAAGAATAATGAATATAAAATAGGTGCAAGCTCAACTTAAATGAGTATAGTTTTTTTTTTATTTAAAAGGGGCCCTTGATGTTGCCCACAGCTCTCAACCTGTGAGTGATACTGCGGCTGTATTAATCACAGAAGTGACCTTCATTTTTGTAGTAAAACAAACACTTGAAATACCTCATTTACATTGCTTGCTACTTGACACTTTCATGAAGCATCACAATAACAGAACTGAATGGGTGTTCCATGTGGAAATAAGACTCTTAACCCTCATGTGATTAATGTTGTACCGTCATATTTGTCCCATCTTTAAAATTGTCAGATTGTAACCTCAAAAGAAAAATGTTCAGATGCACTGGTTTTTACTATGAGATGCCAATGTATATATACAAACAGATAAAATATATTACAAATTACAGCCTCACAGAGCAGCTATAGCATGGCTGTAGACTCTTAGTCTTGCTGCTCTTTTGATAAATGCTTCATATATGAAATAACTAAAACCTTCAACATGGAGATTTATGAGACTGTGAGCTCTCCTGTGATAAGTTACATGTTGGAGGAAGAGTTGTTAGATTCCACAACGGTTGGCCAGAATGAGTTAAAACCAAGCCTGGTTATATTTTGCAGAGTGCGACTTAAACCCCCCCCCCAATAATCTGAAAGGAAACGTAGACGTATAAACCACAGATAAACAGTGAATCCTATGCTTTCACTGTATATTTATTTCAACACAATACAATATATACAGTTTCAAAATAAAATTCAAATCTTTGTAAAAGAAAAGACAGAAGAACGAACTTGGCCTACAGAGAACATCACCACTGATATGCAGTATGACGGTCACTCTTTTAACCTTCTTAAAATAAACATCATATAGCAAATATTGTAAATCAAATATTGAGCATAGATAATGTATTGAGAAGTTTCAAATCAAACATACTTAAATGCATTGCACTGAATACATAACCATTTGGAGACTAAAATCATAATTGTTGAACATTTCCAGCAGTTTCATTTGACAAATAGAGTGATATGAGAATAATATTTAAAAGGCAGTAGCTTTAGTCCAGGAAAGAAAAGCAGAGAAATAGAAACTACAACCAAAGACAGAGTAATAAAGTTTTGAATTAAACTTTCACCACATTTGATGAATGGATATACTTTCACTTAAGTTAGCATTGTTTTCTATTTTCTCCAATGCAATGCTGATCTTAAGATAGTAGGCTGTGAGAAAAACACATTACATCACACATCTGAATAAGCTGAAATAGTAGCACTACTGTAGGCTGGATTTTCCAAGGACATGTAATACAGCTTTGCAAAAGTTACACACAACTTTCACACTCACACTCACACACATACACATACACTCTGAGTCATCAAGTTTAAGCAAAGGACACCGATGGACACGTTGAGCATCCTCAGGTGACAGATGGTCAAATAATTTTTAGTCAGCTCACTGTCACTGTAAGTTCCTGGCATCAGAGATAACAGGTTTAAATGCTTCAGCAGTATTCTTAGGAAACACCTCTGCAGTGTATACAAGGTGGTCGCTGTGCATGGCAATGAACAAAACAGCTTGCATATAACACACTAGTGTCTTCAATATGGGTATGACACCAAACCCACATGGGGAGGCACAATTAGTCAGAGAACTGGGTGAGTTTGGTGATGCAGAACAAGTAAATATAAAGCTTATGTGTTTCCTTTTTTAATTTGCATGTCTGTCTGTGTGTGTGTGTGTGTGTGTGTGTGTGTGTGTGGGGATGCGGTGGGAGCATTAAAAAGAAATGATGAAAAAATTCTGGATATGAAATAAAAATAATGCTCAATAAATAAAAAAAACTCCAGATTTCAAGGTAAAAAAAATCTGTGTTTGGAGTAAGATTTGGCAGGATAACACTGTGTTGCCAAAAAGTCAGTAACCTTCTGTCAAGGCCTTCTGTCATAAAATAAAAAAGAATGAATCTAGATTTCCAGAAACAAACTCCAAATGTCAAAAGAAATCTTCACTTCAGCAGTGGCCCTACAATCTTCACGAGGTGGTATGAATCAGAATGTTGTCAATGTTAGTTATACATCTGCATAGCAAGGATTTGGTTCCTTCCCTGACTGGAAACAATTGAAAATTAGTGAATGTTGGGTAATACTTACTAATATAGTATATAGTAATATTATAGTAAACCTTTATCAAGTTCTTTCCACTGAGTGTGGGCTGTTCATTGTAAGGAAGGTGTGATGTGGTGCCATGATGGTATGGCTGTATCCCTAGAGGACAACATTTCCTTAGTCTTAGTCTAGTTCTAGTTCAGAGTGGTTTTCAAGACACATTTCCTTTTTCAAGCTTTCTGCCTACTGGGATAATTTTTTGTAGGGTTTTGATACTTTCCTTAAATGAATAGTATGGAGGAATAGTGCCTGAGCACCTGTCCAACTGTCCTTATCATTCCAAATGCTTACAGACAAAAATTTTGCATCCCCTCCTATCCTCCTTTTATGCTGGCTATGTTTTTTTTGTTACTCATGTACAAACCCTTAAAGGTCTCTCTACACAGCTAGAATGGAGTGTTGTATTAATTTTGAATGATCCAAGGACATCTGACTGATTACACTCTATGCTCAGATACACATGTAACTACAATTAAAAAGTTTGGATAAAGTTCTGAGTTTACCAGAAATGATTTACCTCACATGGCCTTGTGGATGGAGGACTTTTTCTGTGGCTCAGCAGAGAGGCCAACTCATGATTTTGAAGGGGTCAGATCTTGGAGTGATGGTACATCAGTGGGATATGTTGTGGGTAATAGCTCAGGAAATTGTCTTTCAATTCAGATGATTTTTTCCTCTTTTGACAGAAGCTACAGTAATAATCTTTTTCAAAGAAAAGCAATGTTTGCCACCATTAGCCAAACACTACAGCTCTGCTGGAGGTACTACACCTTGAATAGCTAAGATTGCTCTTCCAGGTGGCACTGTGGGACACATTCATCCACAGGTTTCAGCATGCTAGAAATTAGTTTGAAATTCTTGTTATAATGTTCTTAGAAAGAAACTGTTGACCTCAATAGGAGGAAACAAGCACTGGAATGAAAAAAGCAGTAAAAAAGTCTATGAGATCTTAAATAACAAATATCCATGCTGGTATCCATTACTGAGGACTAGAGTACTGATGAAACTAGTTGGTTTCATCAAGTTTCATATAACCTTGACAAACCACTTCATGAAATGTAAGATTTCAACATTTTAACATTCCAAAAATGATTTCTTCTTAAAATCTCCGAAAACACCATTATTCTACTTCTGCAACTCTCTTTGGTGCATTTGATGAGATGAGGACTAATGAGTCGAGACAGTTTCAGTGCTTATAGGAAGAGTCACCCTGAAATTGAGAAAACCTGGTTTTCTTGCTGCTTTAAGAGGTTTAAAAGGTCGGTGTATGATTGCTAGCTCCACTTCATGATATATTAAACACAAAGTATAGAGAAAAGTATTTTACATGTTTAGTTAAGGTTCAGAATCTATACAGGGTCTAACTGCATGTGATAACTGGTGTAAATGTATTCCAAACTTTGGTCTTTTAACACTGTGAACTGTGTAATCAGCTGTTAGTGGAGAATCAGTCCCTCCTTAAAGAGCATTGTCTGCACACAAGGTGTTCTTTGATCCATATAGATAGCATGACAATGGCTTGCCGACTGATGACTGGTTATTTCCAGTTTGATTATCTGGCAGTAATGGAATGAAATCAGATTTTCAGAATTGTAGGATTGCATGAGCACACTTGAATTTAATATATCCTTTTGCATCTTGAATATGAAATCTGGGAGTCTTAGTTTATTCAAGGAGTTGTTTGACATTTTTATGATATTAAATTCGCTTTCTGGCTCAAAATTAGAAGAGAAGATTGATACCACTTTCATTTCTGTTAGCTTAGCTTAGCTTGGAGTAAAGAATGGAAACAGGGGACAGTAAATGTGCCGGGCCAAGAAATAGTCCTGCACAAAACCCCACGTAAAACTGCAAACTGTCATTTTTACACAGCAGTTTTGGTGCAGATTAAACAAACAAGGTATCTTGTGTCGGTGGTGTGTTAGTAGGCGAATTTTGTTACCTTTGACAGAACAAAGCTAGCTGTTTCCCCCTGTTTCCTGTTTTTATGCTAAGTTAAGCTAACTCCTGACTGTAGCCTCATATTTTCCGTAGATATAGAAGTGGTATCAACCTTCTCTAACTCCTGGGATGAAAGCGAATTGCTAATTTTCCAAAATGTCCAAATACACTTTTAAGTACTTTTAAGAAGGAATGATCCATTTTAAAAGACAATACTGAGAATTCTTACTTTTTGGACGGCTGCAGAGCACGGGCCACTGCTGAGCAACTCTGCAGAACCTGAGGTTTACTTGAGGATTTGATACTTGATAGGCTTTTTAATGGACCACTCATTTAACCAGATGTTAAGGTTAGAACCAATGGACTGTCAGGAATGTTGAAAAGTAAGTCACAAGTCCTCTTACACATAAATTGTTTTAACTACCTAATTCGTGTCCAGGCTTTTAGTACAGTTAAAACAGCTACACAATGCAACTTAAACATGGTAAATTAGCAATGAGCTGCCATCCAAACTTAGAGTGCTTATGTAGTTCTTTTACATCTTTCTGAAAATTGGACTTTGTATGGTTCTCTGTTTCATCTCTTTGCTGAATACAGTTTTTGTAGATTTACTGTAGCCGATTTCTCCACTGTACAGTATGTAGACCGTCAGGCCTTTCAAGAAATTAATTTATTAAGTAGATGAAAAGAGAGAGCCAACACAGAGTTCAACACAAAGTCACTTTATTAAGTTTAGGGGCAAATGAAGCAACTGAATGAGGGATCTTCCTGAACAGGATATCTTTTTCCAAATGGATGCTGGCTCTGCCCGGGAAGAAAAGACAATGAGAGTTGGCTAAGTGTCTCCAAATAATGATGTCCAGGTATCTGATGATCCAGATGATCCAAAAAAGGGAGCTTCAGTCAAGCCACACATCAAAAGCCAAGATTTTCATTAAAATTTGAAAATCTTGAAAGTAAACACCACAAAAATCTGCAGTGTATGTACAACACAGCGAGACATTCATTTTCCTCCAAACAAACAGAAGTTGATCATTAGGGGATGAGGTGCACCTCTGGTTGCATTGCCAGGTGCATTGCATTGTACAATGTAGTTACTTATCCTTTTCTGCAGCCTTTGCATGTGTTCTGCTAATGGGGTTAAAATGTTCTACATGGTGGCTGGTTCTTAAAATGATTGGTATCCACGTGATCAGTGCCTAGTTATCACTGTCAGACCCTTTGTAAAGTCATCTCTTATACATTTTTTAGCATGTCTGATGTTTAAGCACATCATCAAATAACTTTAAATGCTAATCTGTGTGGATAGTCATTATTAGTATCTCTGACCACGCAGTATGGACAAGAAGTTCTGAAAAAAAATGAATATCCAATATTCCTTACTTTCTGTTTTCTCCTCTATCTCCAGCAGTAACATTAGAGACACAGTCAACAAAAGAAAAAGAAACATGTCAGAAATGAATGACAACATAATGACAAACATTAAACAACAGCCTAGCGGACTGTTTGAGGGCAAGTGCCAGCACATCCGATCCTGGGAATGTCACAACGCCAGCCTGATTAGCAGTCTGTCTAAAACACACTCCATCTTGTGCAGAGAGTCCTCTTCACACTGATATTCATAATCCTTAAATACAGGTAATCAAATCCATTTTCAGGAGTTGATATTTCTCAATCAAAGATGGGTGTGGGATACGCATATCCCTTTCTTCTTTTAAAAAAAAAAAGTTTTATCGGTGCCTCTCAATAACACAATAATACTTTAGTCCTTCCGCATTTGTTCTCCACTCATTTTCTTCTCTCTCTTCGTTGTTCCTTGATTCCCGTCTGTCTGAATGCGCTATTTGGTTTAGCAGAGGTGTTCCTTTAATAACAGTCCAAAACTGAGTTTCCCTGTTGTCCTCTTTGCTCGTTCTCCTCCTCACCATTAGGTTAGCTAGTACACCTGATCACCAGTGTTCATGCAGTAAAGGTTCGTCATTATTTGATCTGCTGTTGACCTGACCTACCCAAGTTTAGTGAATTCTGAGTCCCGTTCTTCTCTGCTACAGTCAATAGTGGCGGTCCTGGGGGACTGGACCTTGCTGATTTCCTCAAGGGCACTGGCCAGAGAGTCCAGGTCCCCTGAGTCCTGGTGCTGGACTTCCCATAGACTCAGAATAACTGATGATGGGCTCTCCTGACATGCAAAGTAGCACAGGTTCCTACAGGCCAGGGGAAATGGAAAATTATATTAGAGTAGATCACATAGCAAGGTGTAAATGCTGAGAGCGAATGAGAGTGCCAGTTAATAGTTATAAATGATTGCCTTGGCAGTGACATTTTTAAAGGGGTTCTCCAGTGATTTAGTATTGTACTTCCATACAGCTGGGGGACTAAAAAGATAATGTACAAATTCAAAGTAGCAGAGGTTGTCACTAGTATGGGTCAAACTCATTTCCCATAACAAAACTCAATAGCATCTTTAATTAGATATTTCCTGCCTCCTGAATGCGCTCAAACCTTTGGTTTGTAATGCAGGCTTTCTGTAAAAAATCCTCGGCACAACCTTGATCACATCACTATGGCACCATCAGGGTTATTTTAGAAGAGCACACATGGTTTACTGTAGAATACAAGCTCCAAGCAAGATGTCATTTACACTATTCTTCTTCTAGTGTTGTTATAACACCCATCCAACAGAGTGCACTGTTTCATTACAATGGGATTTCCATAGTTCCCTTCTCCCCCCTTTTTTTTCTCTATCCCACTTTCCCTCCTTGGTCCGATGCCGTTACCACATGTTCAGGGATGTAATTACAAAAATCTGCTTAACTAGGTAGAGACATTGCCATTACATGCTTCTTGCTGTGTTCGACTGGGGCTACGAAACTCTGAAATCCTTTCCCATTCCTCAGTCACAGATGTTTGTTTTCAGACTCGGTTTAAGTGAAATTCCTTAATCACATAGTTTCTGTCACAGTTTCTCCTCTCATGTTTCTCCAACTGGCAAGAAAGAGAGAATACTTAGTTTCAGTACTTTTTTACTAAAGAGCTTGATGGAGCGGACAGCACAGATCTAAGAGTCTTCATGGCTATAAGCACTTGATTATTGACTTTTCTTCTGAAGCACAAATAGACACCCCATACCAAACAACTAAAATCCTCCACTGCCCACGCGAATACTGACCTGACACAACCTCGGGAGAGTTTAGCAGGGGGGTTTGAAGGAACACATGCAGAGATGCTGCTAATGAAGAGTGCTAACATGAACACATATTCTTGCCAGAGGCTAACCTGTCAGCGGTCAGAAACCTTCCTTAACATTTCTGCAAAACAGGGCATCTTCTCTCCAGTTATTCTGAGTGTGCTAAAGTTGGCCCTTATATCTCTGCTTTCTCTCTCTCTCCCTGTGCATGTGTTTCTAGATCTATAATGAAATCAGCACTGTGGCGTGTTACTGAAGGCTGGTTGGTGATGGAAGATTAGGGCTGACACAGTGCAAAAATTCTAGATTAAATGTAGTATTTAAAGCAGGACTGTGGAGAGACCAGAACATGCAGCATTTCTGCTTTCTAGTCATTATTCTGTAATATCGCCAAACAAAACCTACCAGCTGATTTATATATCCGAGCTTTTGTAACACATAGATGACTCAGCCATAGGTAAATAACAACTGCATACAATAAAGACTCAGAATGAAATGTAGTTTTTTAAGTGCTATAACTCAAACCTGTCAATGTGGAGCTTTTGAGCCAAGAGCTGCCAGTCCTTCCCCTTGACATTAGTGGTATCAAAGGTGGCGCTGATCCGCTGACGGATGGACAGGGGGATTTTAAAGGCCCTTGACCCTGTCTGAGAGGTGATGGTACAGTCTGACTGCGTGAAAAAGGGAACCACTCCCTTTTCATTCTTGTAGCAAGAAAGAAAACAGAGAGGCGTCAGGGTGATCTTGATGCTGCAGCTTAAAATGTCAGTATGAAGACAAGGACAAGGACTTATCAAGACAATTTGCAATCTATACATGAAAAGCTCCCTGAGAGGCTCATTAAGCAAGCCCTTAAATCAAATCAAGAGTTTTTCAGTGTAATAAAAGAACCTATTAAGAAGCTGCATAACTACCCACGCATCCCAGCACACGCTGTCTGTTTCTACGAGTGCCACTCACCTCCACCACAGACGCATAGACCTGGAGTATCTGCTCGTCGCCTTTGACCTGTCGGACGCTGATCTTGCAGGAGAGCTGAGACGATGAGTGGCTGTATCGCTCCAAAGAGAAGGCACACTGCAGGGGACGCTGGTTACTGGCCCACACCTGAGAAAAGGAGAACTCCTGCAGAGCGAGGAGAGATGGAGGGCAGACAGGGAGAACGATGAACGGATAAGGCAGAGAAGACAACAAACTCATTAAATCCCCGCTACAGACATTCATTATTTGGATCCAGCTTTGCCACCCACTTTGCTGTTTACATGATTAATTAAGACCGAATGAGTAGCCTCTTTAGCCAATCAATGATATTACCTAATCAAGAAGTTTAACCGTCAGAAAGAACATCAACATTTAGAGCCCTAGGGACAAAAATGTATCCTTTTAACATCCGAAAGAGACTGAGTCATTAGTGTAATTTAGATGTTATTTTACTTACTGTTGCCTGGGAGAAATAATTAAGTTACTTTATATTAGTGTTGCATTACACCCTAAAGCGGAATTAGTCTTACAATCATTAGTTTGATAAATATTACAGACCTAAGCCCACAGGAAATTGTTTATAATGACACAAAATCATCCTTTGAAGATTATTTGAGTAAACATACAGCCCACAGCATTAAATTCAGATTTGTCAATCCACATTTACCACTTTGTTGGCTTGTTATGTTTTCTTTAAATTGTGATAGTCCTAATATGGCTGTAATATCTGTTAGTTTAGCAACTGTAATGTGATTATGGAATTAGGACAGTGATGCCTTAATCTACCCAGTTTGCACTGCACTTCCCCCAAAGGTGGCAGCTGAAAAACCAAAGTAGCAGCGCGTTGGACTGAATGGAATTTAAAAGGCCAATTCCAACTTCCATTACTAACTACTGTGCGACCCAGACAGCGGCGCAGTGAGAACAGGTCAAAAACACTGTTTTACAGATGAATCATCCTCTCTTTAGATCCATCAGACAGAAGGATGGCTACTTGTAAAAGCCTCCTTTAGGCAAGAGTAGTGTCTAAATGAGAGCCTACAGTCATCTTCCCTGTAGTATCCTCACATAGTGGCTCTTGCGTCTCCAAGAAAACCTTGTTGGTATTCTGGCGCACTATGGTGGGCTAATTCTGCTAATAGGATGCCACTGGTGGGATAAACATCACAGGGCAGGGCAGAACATGAAGCATGTAGACCCCTAGGAAGATAACTATGAGATGTGTGTGTGCCTGCCCGGCAGTCATAATTAATTTTATACGGGAGTGTGTGTGGGTGAGATAGCTGGCCTTAGTGATCTCTTGCTGTGCCCTTGCTGCTGTCCTTTGGCTTTGATGTGACAAAGTAAGAAAATACGAAACTCGCAGAGGGGAGAGCTCTAATGGAGGAACAGAGGAAACTGAGAAGATGAAGGTGCATACACATCTGTGACCAAGCTAAATTTAAATTAAAACGTAGATGCACATACAGTAAACCTGCTCGCGGCTTTGCATTCCTTTACACTAAATGACCCAAACTGACGGTTATAAACGGCCTACCTGGCAGGTGGTGAAAGGCTTGATGCTCCAGAGTAACTGTGGGACGTCCTGGATGGACACCTGGAGGCTGAAAGTGTTTCCCCGGAACAGCATCATTTTAGGCTCCTCCAGCAGCCGCCCGCCCCTGCTGCGCTCGCCCACTGCCACCTCCTGTTAAGGAAAAGTGTGGGTGGTTTTTTGGGGGGGAGGAGAGATAGAGATGTACAGAAAACAGGTAGATATTTTATATGGTTTATAGACTCAGTGGAATAAGCCAGGATTCATGTACAACACACAGCTTTTCATTTACAGCTAAATGTTTCTTTTGATTGATAATTCACACAAATCTACAATCCTTAAACAGGAAACACACACACAGACAAACCCTCATTGATGAGCAGGAGAGACGTTGTTGGACATTTTTCAAATACAAAATACCACACATTTCCTAGTTTCAGCTCTTAATTTAAGGATAATTTGACTTTTGTGTACGTAAACTGACCAAAATACCTTTTCTGAGAACCTTTGTCCTAAAACCAGTTTCTGAAATGTGACCATGTCATTACATCCTCCTCATGCAAAACATAAGTACACAAACATAAATTACACACCACAAATACACACTAGAATTTTTAAGCAATTGTTATGATTTGTGTGCGCTGCTTGTGCACCAATAAGCCTCGACTTTTAACTGTTGGTGCTCTTTGCAAATTTGGAGAAATGCTGTGACCATGATTTAAAAAAAGTACTATAAATAACAATCATCATTGCATACAGAGCGATTGACCCCTAAAAGCTGAAAAACTCAACGCCGGCCCCCAAGGACCACTGCTGCTCAATGTATGAGTTACAAACCGGCACTGCTAGAGCCTCAAAAATCAGATAAAGAGAGCAGCCATGACTGTTAGTCAAACATTGGTTGTGCACAAAGACAAGACATAAACAGAGATGAAATCAAAACAAAAGTCTATTGTCAATATTATACTTTACTGACTTTTTTCCAGATCTATGGAGAACAATAACGTATATGTGAATGTGTTGGTATGTGCCTGCTTGTTTGTGTTTACATTTTGTGTGTCTTGGGAATGCAGGGAGGGGTGGAGATGTGAGTCTGGTGTGCATGGTGCTTATCCGCTCATTCACACAGTGCGCAGAGAGGGGAAATGGAAAGCATACAGGCTGACTTGAACCCGATCAGTTCCTGCTTCAAGCTCACAGGGGAAATTAATTGTCGTATGAAGCACAAACAAAAGCCAACAAAACAGAACAAATGAACAAATAACCATGTCTGACTGATGGAGAGGTGGAGCGAATTGGCACCTACATCCAATTGCTCTCTGTTCACATACAATTCTACCTCTCGAGTGGAGCCAAAAGTGAAGCAGGGCTACTTTTCGGAACAACTATCACAACACCACTTCAGAAAAGCTGTGTGTGTTTAATGAAGATAGGAAACAAACTAGTCTTGCAAAAAGTATTTTTTGGCTCCAGAACACTTGAGCAAAAAGAGGTGTGTTTGAGTTTTTGAGTCCAACACTGCAAGGACAAGGGCAGATTTTTCACAAAGCACCACTCAAGAGCACACTGATGAACTGGTGCTGCATCTAAGAATGTGTCTCATCTTAACGCGTTCAAATACTCGTCATGTGGAATGCAACGCTGAAACACATTTAATTAACAGAGAGCAAATTTAATTACGCAAAGAAAGGGCAGAGAAGCAACCTTGGAGCATCTGTTGTCTTTGTAATTAAAAGTCCCTCTTTGTCTCCTAGTCATCAAGCATCTCCCAGTGGCAATGTTACTGAACACGCAGATCTTCAGTGGAGCACAGAAAAACTCAGACAGCAATTCTTTCAGGCAAAACCACCAGACGCATCGACCAAACTCTTGCAATTTAAATTTCTTATCTCATATATGTATGTTAAATCATAAAGTAGAATTCTGCTGGAGGATCTATGGAAGGCGATGTTGGGCTGTCGGTCAGTAGGTCAGTCTGTCCACCACTTTGTTCCAGAATGAAGTATCTCAAGAACTATTGAAAAGATTGCCAAGAAATTTTGTATTACAACTGGTGATCCTTGGACTTCTCCTCTAGAGTCACAAGGACATTGACATTTGTGGTTTTGAGGGAAATGTCAGGACAATATATAGGATGGATTTCCACTGGGTAAATACATTCATGGTCAGGAAAACATTGATGATCCCTTAATTTCCATCTAGCACCATCATCAGGGTATTTCAATTAGACTTTGTCCAATAATTTGGCTTTTGACCAAATGCTCACAAAACTAATGACATTCACATCAGCATTAGCTCTGCATTGTATTTAGTGCTAATTGGCAAATGTTAGGCATGCTAATACCGTAATCTATGATGGTGACGACAGTAACCATTATCTGCAAACAAGTAAAGCCTGACAGAGCCAGGGCAAACAAATACAGAACACAAATTCTGACCTTTTCTCTTGTTTCATGACTTATCATGTATACTGGTCAAAGCAAAAGGAAATAACTGTTTTGACCAAACAAGCAAATAGCATTAAACGGAATCATCCCGGCTTCGTCATTGTTTCTCTCTGTATCGTCCCTCTTCCCTCATACCTGAAATGTGTGGGGCGTGTCGTCCACACAGTAGACCCTGAGGGTAAAGCCCAGAGAGTTGCTCGTATCCGGACTACCAAACACAGCCAGTCTCAGCCGCTTGGCTGCCTCCTGGTTCTGCGGCTCCCCCACCAGGGCGTAGCGGCCCGGATGCTCCAACAGCACATGGCACCTCTGGGCCTCCAGCAGACAGTAGCAGGACGTGCTCTCCTCGTCCACAGACATCACTTCCTTTGGAGGGAAGATACATCAGGAGAGACCTGACTTAGTTCCGGTGCATTAAGCACACAGTCCATTAATAGTTCATTTTAGGGTTTATTATGAGAACAGCTCAATATTAGAAAGCTGTCTTGGTGATGATTTTCGATGTTTGGTTTTGAGGATTTAGCACCAAGCTGTACACAGTGGAGCTGAGCATGCTGATTCATGATCATTAACATTTAAATTTCTGCCAAGAATGTGTTTCAACAGGCAGAATTTATTATTATCTCTTAGCTTATTACCTGTTGAGGCCTTTAATGTTATTAAAGATATCATTAAGAGAAATCACAGACAGTAAACCAGAAACATTCCCTCATACACAGACCCAGGATCAGGAACTGTGCAAACCTGAACGAGAGCCACATGAATAATCACACATCTCACTTAACAGATGGGATACAGTAACACTGACAAAACGGACTAGTGGGGTGCAGTTGTATCTGACGGTCGATTGCTCCTCATCTTGTACTCCCGAAACCACCTTTGAAACATAACCGTGACCCACAGGTCCCCTCTGCATATGGCCTGGCTGAGGCATATAAAACCACGCAGGGGCCCACAGATTCCTAAACCTGCCCCATTAGCGCTGCAGCAGACATGAAGGATCTCCACGACATAGCTCATCCCCGCCAGGCAGTCGGGGAGAAATGATGGAGTCAAACTCCAGCAGTACAAAAGTGCAAGCTTTAATGGGAATGGCACTGAGAGGCAGACGGAGCGAGAGAGAAGGGAAGAGAAAAACACAGAGGGGGAGAAAGACTTCCATCTCCCATTATATCACTAATTCCAGAGATTAGGTTTTGAGTGAGCATCCTTCCTTAGATATAGGGCTCATTATTTCACAGTGACAGAGACGGGTCATGGCGTTACATTTTCTTGGAGAACATCTCCATTTCTAACTCTGAACCTGTCTGCGTATTTCTGTCTGTCTCTTCCTTCTCTGCTGCTTCTCTCTCCTATTCTCTCCTTTCTGATGGCATTATAGCTCCCATCAGTGATGGGTCTTTTGATAGCTGCCTTTTGGGCAACACGGCTTCTGGCAAATTATATCTGTGTAAATGTCACAGAGAGTGAAAGAACCAGGCTGGGAGAGAGCCACAGGTCCTTCAAGGTCACGCAAACTCGATGGCTCCGGGATCACTCTGCCTCGATGAGGTCCCCAAAGCATTTTGATGAGGTTAGTTAAACATTAAAAGAGCATCTTAGATATGTCTACACTGCCGAAAAGACATGAAAAGATGGATAGAGGGTGTCTGAATTGAAGTCTGATGCCTGGACAAGTCTGTGAAAGTGCGAAGTAACTCTACAGGGCAGAGTTGAAGGACTTTTCAGAGGTGTTATTTTACTGAAAGAGCAAGGTGAGAAAAACATCTCACTGCAGCAATCACAGAGGTAGCACTTTTCTGTATTTATAGCAGTAACGTCTTAAATCTTTTAAAAACCACACTTGCCAGTTTTGATCTGTTTTTTTTTTTTTTTACATCACACAGAGGGCAGTTTTTCCCCCCAATTGAAATCTGTCTGCAAATTTCATTTTCAATATAGCTAAATAGCTAGTTCAGAAACACATTAGAAACACAACTAGAACTAGATTCTGTTAAAACTTTTAATGACTAGATCTTGTGGATCCATGACCATTTCTATGTTTTAGCCGTTATTCTTTTTCTGTCTTTGTCTGTATGTGTTTATCTCTTGGGTGGGACACACTCACTCAGTTATTTGATTCAGATGAAAATAATAATGTTAAAGTAGCTGAATCCATTTGGTGGCTAGCATTTTCTGCAATTCACATCAATCCAATTTCAGTGTGTACATATTCAGTGATAGTGATTCCAGTATAATAATTACTTTCAAGAATAATTGAGATGATACATATTCCCTCATGCCTTTATCTACAGTAATGAAATTATCATTCATCAACACTGTACAAAACGTACATATGCAAGTGTTCTAGTAACAACACAGTTGTACCTTGCAAAATGACGTATATGGTATAATGGAATCATAACAGCCATTTTAACATTTCAGATATAGTTTTGCCTTGTTATAAATAACAAAAACAAACAGACATACAGAAGCATGTGCAGTATGTACAAACATATTAGTATTTGTATAAGCAGCTGCAACCCAGAATTCACAAATTCGTGAAAGAGTATTAGTTTAAAATACCATTATCATTAAACTGAAAAAGAAATGAACGTTTCAATGACTAATAACCATCATTTGCATTTGGTCTGACATTTCCTTTGGATACATAACTGCATGAGGTAGAGCTTGAAAAGCAGAACTTTATGCAGAATGACGAATCTGAGCTGGCAACCCTGAAATCGGCTCCGTGCTTGCATGACTACACTGCAAGATGAAAATTTTCATCAAAGTAAGTTGTAGCAGTTTTATCACTTCATATTGATATTCTGGCTGCTGGTGAAAGTTGTGTGTTAGCATTTGTTAACATTCTGCATTGATGTTACAGGAAAGAATTTGGACCTGATAATTACAGCTGACGTTTAATAGAAATTGCTCACCTCCCACTTGTTGTCCGGCATTTGTCTCTTTAGTCGAATGGTCCAATTATCAGCAGCGACTTCTGCACAATGGGCAATGGTCATGGCTATGGGACAGGACAGGTCAAGGCCTGGTGGGCCGTACGTGACTGCGGGGCTCAAAAAGGTCTCTGGCCCGTCCTCGGACACAGTACTGCATACACAGAGGTACAGTAAAGGTACATATTAAAACTCAAATGCAAATCTCATGATATCACATACATTATATCATATAAAATTATGTCATTTTTTGTATGAAAATGGAGACATAAACATCACTACCAATAAATCACAGCTTAAAGTAGCAGTACATAGGATTTAGGGGCATCTAGTGGTAAAATTGCAGGTTGCAACCAACTGAATACCGCTCACCTCACAAGCGTGTAGGAGAAATTAGATATAAAAGGCTTAATCTAAAGCAACAAAAATTTTTTTTTTGAGGTGTCTATACAATAATGAAAACATACTTAAGAATATGACTGCCAAACTCCGGGAATACGGCCCCCTAAATCTTACACACTGGACCTTTAAATAATCATTCAGATATTGTAGCAGAGTGTGATCCTTGCCTATGAGCGAAGCAAATTCAAATCCTTGGACACTCATAATGAATCAATCTCTGACTAGCTGACACACAGACACACAGATAGAAGAAGATTAAAGCACCAAGACTAATGGACGGTGGGGCTAGGGAGGACAGGCGTTAGCACACAGCGTGTAAGCTTTGTGGGTCGATGGAGCTTATGAAGCCTGCTCTGGGCAGCATGGTGACAGATTAGCTGGGCCAAGCTGCTCTTGGTCAGGGGCCCAATCTTGGCTGGAAGCCATGAAGACTGAGAGCAATCAATGGGACCACCATCGGTCATGCAGTTGGCCCGGCTGGACACCTCACATATCTAGGACACAATATTGGTGCTGTTGTCACTGGAGCAGCGTGGATATTTCTCTGCATCATTAATACAACTGCAGCGGAGACAAACCCTGACATGCAGGCACAGATGCATCACTAATGTCAGTGTGGACCCGCACTTGTATGCACACAAATTGAGGAAACACTAACAGAGTGAGAATGATGTTGACATTGAAAGTATAATTTTTATAGGATACACCTCATATTGATATGTGAGCTAAACTAAGCTAAATTAATTCTAAACAGGCTTTTCTAATGTAGTTTGTTGATGATGAAGTAGTCACAAAATAAAGCATCAACAAAGTGAGTATGTATATTAATGGTAGTTAACTAGTTTTTTGTGCCATTGATGTACACCCAAAAAGGACGGTGATGAGACAGGTCTGAAAAAGTATTAAATCCTTCAAAAAAACAAGCTCAACCAGGAAGACAATCTTTATGCTTTAATCATTCACAACTCTCGCTCTCTCTCTCATCTCCCAGCTATGGTTTCACCATCCCTTTTAATACCGTATCTTTACAATAGGGTCTAATCGCCAAAAACTGTTCACATTCCTCATATTAATTGTACATGTCAATAAATTATTATCCATCCATCCATCGTCAACCGCTTATCCTGTGTACAGGGTCGCGGGGATAAATTATTATTGTTCACTCAAATTAAGTTTCTTCTGTTTTAACTTATTTTCTCTTTGAGGAATTTAACTACAGTGGCATTTAAAAGTTGCATTTGGCTGACCTCAATCAATGCTGGTACAACTGTGTTTCCAAAAAAGTTGGCACGCTGTATAAATATAAATAAAAGCCACAAGGCCAGACCACATTCTGCAAATATTACAACAGCATGTCTATGCAGTAAAAGAGCCCGGGTGCTAAACTGGCCTGCTTGCAGTCCCAACTTGTCACTGATTGAAAATGTTTGGCACATTATGAAACGCACAACTAAGGAGACCCCGAACTGTTGAGCAGCTGAAATCCTGCATCAAGCAAGAAGAATGGAACAAATGGGAAAACATTCCACTTTAAAGATTACGGCAGTTGGTCTCCTTAGTTCCCAGATGCTTACAAAGTGTTGTTAGAAGAGGAGGTGATGCACGCCAACTTTTTTGTAAACAGGGTTGTATTACATTATTTCTTGTTAGTAAATAAAGTACACGGACAGTAAATTATTAGGGCTTCATGTAACAATAATTTTCATTAATCGTCTTCCCAATAAAGTGTTGTGATTAACTGGGAGAGCCCTAGAGCCAAAGGGGACATTTACAGATGTCTTATTTTAGTCCAACCAGCAGAGCCAAACATTTACATTTATTCATTTAGCTGACGCTTTTCTCCAAAGCGACTTTCAATTTCTATACATGTCAGAGGTCGCATGCCTCTGGAGTAACTAGGGGTTGAGTGTCTTGCTCAGGGACACATTGGTGGATGTGTCACAGTGGGGAATTGAACCAGTGTCTCTCACACCAAAGGCATGTGTCTTATCCACCCCCCGCAAAACCCAAAGATATTCATTTTATAATGACATAAAACAGAGAAAATCAAAAAATCGTTACATTTGAGAAGCTGGAATCAATCAACATGTTTGGCATTTTTACTTGAAAAATGACCAATGATTAGATGTTTATTGACTGACCAATAGATTGACTAATTGCTTCAGATCATACAATTACTGTAGTATACCTTGTCTACTAGTAGTATGTTGCATGGAATTGAGACACAGCTACTGGTAGTCATCGTGGGGTTAATTCCTATTTTAACTTGAAATCTTAAAGTTAAAAACTGAACTTTTCTAATAGTTTCTATCCCTGCAACAATTACCTGTAAGACGCATGACAATTATTTTATGACAATTATTTAAGACGGCAGAGGGAAGGTGAAGGGTGAGCATGTATGTGCATGCTGAGAGTGCAGCGTTCCCACGTGGCACAATGTGTGTTTGGCTCCTGTTATTGTAACACTTTTTGTGTGGAAGTTTATTCTTCATTATGCTGTTACCAACTGAACGCTGAAAAATTAAAAGAGGTTATGATCTGCTGTCTAAAACTGAAATCATACATCCAGACAGCACTGTGGCCCTGCAGCTGCACTTTTGTGCTAATCAGCCCCAGGCTCAGAGGAAACCAAGGTAACCTGCTGCTCAGACTATGATAATTAGCCAGATTGCCTGTGAGCAAAGATTAAATATGGTTATTTAGCATCTCTGATTGTGGTTATGAGAACAAAAGAATATCACTCCAGGATGATGGTTAAAATGTAGATAGCAGATTTGAGTTATTAGTTAAATCTACGTAGTCTGACTACACACAACACACCTCTTTTACTTTTTCAGACAATAGCAACCAGCATGACATTGCTTGCTTTTTTTATTTTGGTGAGACCACAATTATAAATAACATTTTGACAATGCCTCATTAGCGTTTGACAGTTTGTCTACACATAAATATGGAGTCCGAGTTTAACTAATTTACAGACATAAAACTCAGATTCTGTAACTGTGCAATATTTTTAGTCAAATTATGAGTACACCCAAATAAAACAGACAAACAAAAAACAAAGCTATAGTGGTATGTAGCCGGTCAGATTGTCAGGGGAGGTGTGGTGCTCACCTCAATGAAAAATAACCTCTTTCCTGAAACAGTGTCCCTGTTACTCTGAATATAATCCCCAGAACATGATGTAAACAGCTTTTGAGCTATTTACAATCAAATATGTCAAACTCGGCATCCTCAGAGTATCAGTAGCTACTGTTAGCTACTAGCTAATATAAAGAAAATCATTATTACTGATGGCATTTTAAAGCTTCAGTTAAGTGTAGGCATGCATTATATGATTTTGTCAAACTAAATATATGTCTTTTAACTACAGCGGCTTAAAGCTGCATCGTCCTAATGTCTATATGAACGATGGGTTTAATGACAAAGTGTAATGTAAAAGGAACATTTTAATTGTTTGGATTTTACAGTAGGCAACTTTACTGTTTTGGTTCACTCTCACAAATTTCATCAGCACTGTTTTCAGCTGCAGCAGACAGCTCTTTTCATTATGCACTTCCAGCAAAAGTTGCTGGGGAACATAGTGGAGCATTTAAAAGCTAAAGATATTTCCCTGAGAAATTGGCGGAGATGAACAGAGAGTTAAAAGAAGAGTGAAAATTAGACAACAATTGTAAGGCGGCCAGCCATGCACTCCAAAATAACGTTGTAGTAAATAGGCAGCCTTGTTGCTTATACGATAGCAACAACAACTATATATGGCACCACAACTTCTCCGCAAATTTGACCTATCATTGCTGTTCCCACAAACTGTTGTCATGCATCAGCCTGTCATTTCCTTGTTTAAAACTCACAGCAGACATGTGTGATACCAGCGTCTCACATTTGCAGACAAAAAAAAGGACCATGAAGAACAGAATCGATCTTCTTCACCAAAGCATGGGTAATCTGTTTTGCAAAACGTGCAGTATTGTGGTCAAACATAAAGTGTGATTGATACACAGAGTGGCAGAAAGGCTTGTAGGGTGTCAGACAAGACAAATCACTGTGATACAGGCTGTTGCATAGCGGTCAATTCAAACGCTGAAAGAATCCAGGTAAGCTGGTTTAAATGTGCATGGTTAGGGTTAGAGCTAGGTCCGCGAAATCCTTGAGGGACTGTTTGATGATTCAACTATAATTCTAAAGTAAAAAAAAACATCCCACAATTTCATCGCAGAAAACACCCCAAAACATTACAACTTTCAATGCATTTTTTTTTTTTTGAAAAGCTGCCGCAAAATCAGGCATTTTAGATTGCAACAAACACTGAAAGGCCTGCAAAATCCTGGTGGGAGCGTCTAAGGGTAACTTTAATAAGAATATCTGGATTCAAGAGGCTCAGCAAAGTATTAGTACAAAATGAAGTTGGTAAACTCAGTTGATACCAACAGGACAGTACAAATAATATGACATCAACAACAACCACAAACCAATTTTTTACAAGGAAGAGTAATCTGAGGCAGGTATGACTGACACTACAGAGCAATAGGTGAGACCCCGCAAATAGTTTGCTCAAAAATGAGCATGATATGATGTGCTCAACTCATTCACTCAAACGTGTGTGAGTCATAACATATCAGGTGTATTTTGTCACACACTCCTTGGACTACCCACCGTCCCCTGCTGAGTTAGAGAAGATCACACACAAAACAACCTCATAAAGCCCAGGGGATGTACGAAAGCTCTTGCGAACACCTGAAACCGAGCCAGAGCGGATCGATTCCTATTCTTTGCAGGGGAAAGCATCGTCTTTATGTAGATGGCTGAGGTTTGAATGGGAAGAAAGGATCCAATTTCTCCTCTGGACTCTGCGGCTGTCAGAAGATAGGCTTTGACTGACAGCTCAGTGGTGCACAGCTCCTGCAGCTTCTTAAACGACAGCCAGAGAAGTAAACAGCATCAGGCTTATCAGAGCAAAACAGGAGCCTGGAGGGCAGCATATTGGCTGAACTGGGAAGACTTTAGGCAAGAGAGTGTAAAACCAGCCCACTAACCGAGCAATGTACCGTAACCTATAAGTGACCTTTGATCTGTATCTTCACCCAGATGACCCTAGGCACTTAACGTGTGGGTGGAGGCGAGGGGAGATGACAGCTGAATTTCAGATGCCACTAAATGTCACTTTTGATTCTCCCTTGGGTGTAGAAATCAAATTTCATTGAGAAGCACAGGCGGTTAGCCGTGTTGTTAAGGTGATATCTCGCTAGCAGGGTTTCACACAGACCTGCTGACACATTGATAGTGTCTGCTATAAATCAAGAACATGTCCAAAACCTGACTTCTGGTTGTCAGATAGCTTTTGAGGCTCTGTTGTAAAGAAGTCAAAGGTATTAGACTCCTTTTCAAACGGCTCTTATCTATCTTGCCATTTTCTCCCTAAGCAATAGCTCTGTGAAGATCTCGACGGCAAAATTACAGAAATAGACTCCTGCTGACTGGCAACTGTCATCTACACTTTGTTACATATCACGTTTCCCTGAACCAAAAACCAAATCAATATCACTAATCATCGTGACTTCACAATTTTCACCACTCTAACCAGATACAATGGGATGAGATATTGTCACAGTTATGTCTACAAACACAAAACAGGCTACCAGAGCCACGGAGTGTATCTTTCTATGCTGAGACAGTTGCTTAAGGCAGTAATGCAATCTGTCTACAGCTGCCAATGTATTGGTGACACATCATGTCCTCCCCTGTAGTGTCTGCAAGATGAGCAAGGACGCCTTGCTGGGTGGAAGTATGTCTGCTTCTGTATGTGAGTATGTGTACAGCACGTGTGACTGTGTTCTCTCTGCATGAGAGGATCTGTTTGTATCTGTACATGTTTGTGGAGCATGTAAGGCAAAGAGAGGAGGAGACGACGTGGAAGGAAGAGGGATGAGACGGGCTGCAAGATTAAAAGAGAGCAGCCTACGAAGCAGACTGCTCTGCCTCAGTGAGGGTCCCTCACCTGCTGTCCTCCTGGTTGATGATCATGTACATTTCCCAGGTAGTGTCTTCTGCGATCCCCCCATGAGGCACCAACAGACTGATACCTGCAGAGAAGGAGGCATGAAAAAACTGATCAACACACAGCAAGAGATGCACACACACCTGCCTGGCTGTCAGGTCTCTTTACTAAAGGTGACAGCCAGAGAGGTGATGGCCCCAGAAATATGGTGAGGGAAGCAAATCCCAACGGCCTTGTGAATCAATGCTGCCAGCAGTCTCTTTCTTACACAGACACACACATACACAATATTCTACTGTATGATAAACACTGCCAATCTACAGTGCAGTAGATAAAGCCCCACAAGGGACAGGATGATGAATGTAGGCCACGAGAAAGAGCTGCCTGAATGATGTGGTAGACTGTGCATCGCAGGTTTAAATTACATTTTCTTGTACAGTATGTTCTTTAAAATGTTAATACTAAAATGCATCCTTTGTAAATTAATTTATGTAGTAAAACAAAACAAAAAAATCATGCATTTAATATGGTTTGAAATACCTTACATAGTTGAGAAATGCTGATTGTTGTTATTGTCAGGGTGTATTGGTTGGTTAAAAAGGCCATTGCTGTCTAACCTCATCAGTTTAGTAAATAATATATTCATGTTCATGTCCAGCACTGACAAGGTCAAACAACTTTGAAATGCAATACAAGACGGCGTATATAAGCTTTGCTGTTGTTTCAAAGTGTGGTAATCTACAGATTTCAGCTTCTCTCTGATTTCTGAAGGAATTTCAGTGTACACACAGGAGCATATCAAATGAAATTTCTCACCTGTGTTAGGTACCACCAGTCTCCCTCCAGCATGACCAAACACTGCAGTCGCTTTGTGGAGAGGCCTGCTGGGAGTCAAAGAGACTTGTGGGGTGAAGAGGTTTTTGCCTCTTCTGCCCAGCGTCGTCCCCACTGCAACCCCTCTATAGTCTGGAGCCAGGCCCCTTGGAAACGTCTGAGGGTGGGACATGACATGGTACTCTGCCCTCTCTGCCACCCCTACAGATACAATGAAAACTGTCAAAGTCAAAGTCAAATTTATTTATAAAGCACATTTAAAACAACTTCTGCTGACCAAAGTGCTGTACACATGGAATCAATTAATCAGAATAAAATAACAATAAAATAATAAAATACGATAGAAATATAGAACATTAAAATAGTGGAACCCAATGTAACCTGCTTATTCTGTGTTGAAAGCTAAAGAGAACAGGTGTGTTTTTAGCCTGCTTTTAAATTGATCTACAGATTGTGCAGATCTAACATGAAGGGGTAGGCTTTTCCACAGCCGTGGTCCTGCCACTGAAAAGGCTCTGTCCCCTCGGGTGGTAAGCCTGCTTTTAGGGACACTCAAAAGGAGCTGGTTTGCTGACCTTAGTGCTCTGGCAGGAGCATAAGTGTTCAGCATGTCAGAAAGATAAGGTGGCGCAGTATCAGTCAAACATTTAAAAACTATTAATAAAATCTTAAAATCCACTCTAAAAGATACAGGGAGCCAGTGTAATGAGGCCAGCACGGGGGTGATGTGCTCCCTTTTTCTTTTCCCTGTCAGAAGCTGGGCTGCTGCATTTTGTACCCCCCTGGAGGCGGCGAAGAGAGCGCCGTTCGAGTCCGCAGTACAGCGAATTACAGTAGTCCAGCTGTGATGTCATAAAGGCTTGGACTGCTCTCTCCAGGTCTTTCTTAGGGATAGGGCTTGATTTTACTCAGTAGTCTTAAATGATAAAAGCTGCTTTTCACCACTGCACTGACCTGCTTGTCAAACTTAAAACCACAGTCAAGAAGCACTCCTAGATTTTTTGTGCTTGGGCGAGAAAATGAAGCTAATGGGCCAATGGCACTGTCCCAGCCCTTCAGACAGTCTGTTTGCCCAAAGACCACAATTTCAGTTTTGCTTTTATTCAGGCTTAAAAAGTTTGAGTCCATGCAGGACACAACCTCCTTAAGACAATCCTGTAGAGTTTTGATTGCAGAAAAGTCATTTGTGCTCAAAAACAGGAATAAGTAACAGCAACAAAATAGTGGATTAAAAAGCCTCCCCCATACACTGATTGCCCAGTCATTGCTTAGCACCCGACACTTGGCTCGTCAAGCCTGTCAAGCATAGGATTTCTACATTACCCGAAGCAGCATGCATGGGGAAGCAAAAAAAGCAACTACATTTAAAAGGTTGGAGAGTGGTGTCTTTTATTAAGCCTTTCAAAACCCTAAAACACCAGGGCAGTGTGAGTGTGATGAACACTGTGTTTAACAACGTTGGCCTGTCTGGATATCAACCAGCTAATGGAGCTAACTTTAGCTAAATTAGCTGTTTAGCTATAGCTAATAGAAGCGTCCATCTGCCAGAAAAAATTATGGATGCTGGATAGATATGACAAACCTGCTTCTGTCTACCTCTTAGGTTCAGGCAGTATAAGAATATACCAGTGAATTTCGAAATTCCTATGTTATGACTTTCACTGACAGACACTCCTCTTTCTATTAAACTGATATGGAGATGTTGTATTGAGGTTATGTTTTGTAGTGTATGCCTTCAACTTGGTAGGCGACACAGCTGAAACTGCCTGACATCATCTTACAACGCAATAAGAT